AAGGTCAAAATGCTTCTAAAGATAGCAGAATTTATTTCAAAGAGAGTTCATTCATTTTCTGGGTGGAGTACTTCAGGGCAGAAAAAAATAAAACAGAAAAAACACACACACACAAAACCACACAGCCACACCCACCCACCCTGGGAAAGGGAGTGAAGGCCTTCGAGAGCAAAGCAGGAGGAGTCGAAAAGGTGGAAGGGTGGTGGGGGGCAGGAGCAGCTGATCAGGGAGGATCCCACAGGGAATAGCCACTCCCTCCCAAGCCACTCCCGACTCCTGGGAACCAGGGGCTCTGAGCCAGCCGACCTACACCCTAGGCAGCCACTCCACGGCCAATGGGGACCGGCGAGGCGATCGCACACCAAATTAGGAAGGCAGGCATCGAGGGGGCGGGGCGGCACCCGGGAGGGGCCAGCCGGGCAGGAAGCCCCGCGCTGGGTGTGGAGGCCAGCACCGCCCCGATCTCTTAGGGAGCAGAGCCAGCCGGAGGAGAGTGGGGAGGTGGCAGGGAAGGGCAGGGAGTGTTTGTAAACACGCCGGCTCCACCCTACGGCAGAAACTCAAACTGAAAAGTATCTTGGCAAGCAAAACCTCAAGGGCCTCTGAGGTTTCTAAACACTCAATTGAATTCCATGGTGCTAAGATAAACGGATGTAAACAGAGAGGCTTTTATTGTAACAATGGTAGGCCAAAGAGCCAGACAGTCGGTCCCTAACTTACTACTTTCTCCGCACAGAACTTCCCTAACAAGAATCCTTTGCACAGGGCAGCTTCAAAGAGCAAGACTGGGTGGAGGGAGGGGATCGGGCTCCCACAGCAAGAGCAGGGCGGGTACAGGACCAAGGAGGGGCGCCCCCCCTCCCCCCGCCCCACCATGGGAACTCGAGGTCACAGGAGGCCCACCCAGCTTCTCGGAGCTCCAGCCGCAAGAGCTTCAGGTGTTCAGTACAAAGTATCTTTACTCTCAGCTATAAAAAGGAACGAAATCTCGGCCAGGGAAGCAACACGATGGAGCTGGGGGCCCTTGTCCCAAATGAGCTAACTCAGAAACAAAACTGCACACGGCCTGCTCTCACTTACAAGTGGGGGCTGAACAGGTGGGTGCCTAGGAACACAGAGATGGAAACAACAGACGCTGAGACTCCAAAGCGGGGAGGCGGGAAGGGGCGAGGGGTGAAAGATGCCTCCGGGTGTGAGGTTCACCGTTGGGTAATGGGCACCCTAGAAGCCTAATCCCCACCAGGATGTAATATCTCTATGTCACACACATGCAGATATACCCCCTGAATTGAAGATAAAATAAAAATAAACAGTACTTTCCCTGCCCTAATTTTTAAAATCGGTATCTTTTATCAACTCCTTTGCAAACCACTACCTTTCTTGTAATACAAAAGCGACTTTAATATGCAAATTTGGATTAATAGCTGGGAAATATTTTTGTTTTTTAAGCCCCCTCCTGGAGCAAGCCAAAACATTTTTCTTTCTTAAAAAGCTTGTTTAGCTGGATTACAACCTGCTGAGTAAGAACCCACTGCCAGGCTAAGGCAGGGGCGCAAACCTAGCCCTGTGGCAGGAGCCCCGGGTCACTGCCTGGCCTGCTTCTCTCTGGACCCTGAGGCCTTTGCTGCCCACCCCAAAAGCAGCAGGACCAGACTATTTTTTTTTTTTTTTTTTTTTTACAGAATCTTGCTCTGTCTCCAGGCTGGAGTGCAGTGATGCGATCTCCGCTCACTGCAACCTCCACCTCCCGGGTTCAAGTGATTCTCCCGCCTCAGCCTCCTGAGTAGCTGGTACCACAGGCGCCCACCATGGAGCTTGGCTAATTTTTGTATTTTTAGTAGAGACAGGGTTTCTCCATGTTGGCCAGGATGATCTCAATCTCCTGACCTCATGATCCACCCGCCTCGGCCTCCCAAGGTGCTGGGATTACAGGCGTGAGCCCCCACACCTGGCCAGGGCCAGCCTCTTCTGGTGTGAGCTCCCAGCAGCACATGAGCTGGTCTTGGCCACCGTTTCTAAAGTGCCTTTAAGGTGGTACTAGGTAAAGACTCAAGGACACAGGTGGTGTTCAGATGCGTTCTTCAGACACAATTCTAACAACGTACAACTCACCACTTACTTACTTCTTATGTATTTATTTATTTTGAGATGGAGTCTCAACTCTGTCACCCAGGTTGGAGTGCAGTCTTGCAATCTCAGCTCACTGCAACCTCTGCCTCCTGGGTTCAAGCCATTCTCCTGCCTCAGCCTCCCAAGTAGCTGGGACTACAGGTGTGGGCAAACATGCCTGGGTAATTTTTGTATTCTTAGTAGAGATGGGGTTTCGAAATGTTGCCTAGGCTGATCTCGAACTCCTGGCCTCAAGTGATCCGCCTGCCTTGGCCTCCCACAGTGCTGGGATTACAGGTGTGAGCCACCTCGCCCAGCCAATTCACCCTTTAAAGTGACTTTTAGTATATTCACAAAGTTGAATAACCATCACTGCTATCTACTTCCAGAACATTCTCCCATAAAGCCGTATGGACTAAAAAAAAAAAAATACTGCATGTGCACTGCTCAGCACAGGGACAGGTAGGCACACACCAAGGTTTCAGTCACTTAGGATTCACCATTATCACCATCATCATCATCATTCCAGAGGGTCATGACATCACAGCACTGGCTCCACAGATGGGAACCAGGCCCAGGGGTCGGGGGCTGAAGTGACCACGCCCGGCCTGAGCCCAGCAGCTTTTCTACAGCCTTTCCACAGCAGCTCTGTCCCTGAACTTCTCTTGCAATGAGAGACTCTCCAACCCACTGCCTCTGGAAGAAAGGGGGCCAACTCCAAGCAACTCAAATGGAAATGATTCGCAACTTGTAACTTGTAGGAAACCACTGGTAAGTTGTCGGCAAAGCTGGGTAGAGGTGCCGTCCCCCAGTGGCTGTGTTCCAAGATAAGCCAGTGGGTAATTCTAACTTGGACTCTGAAAAGGTGCAGGTCACATATGGGCCGGGTGTGTTGGCTCACGCCTGTAACCCCAGCACTTTGGGAGGTGGAGGAGGGTGGATCTCTTGAGCCCAGGAGTTCCAGACCAACCTGGGCAACATAGCAAGACCCTGTCTCTACAAAAGATAAGAAAATTAGCTGGGTGTGGTGGTGCCTGCCTGTGGTCCCAGCTACTTGGGAGGCTGGGGTGGGGGGATCATTTGAGCCCAGGAGTTGGAGGCTGCAGTGAGCTATGATTGTGCCACTGCACTCCAGCCTTGGCGACAGAGTGAGACACCGTCTGCAAAACAAAAGTCCTCTCCTCTCCTACAGATGCAAGAGGAAAAAAAGAAAAGGTGTAGCCGGGGCTTGGCAGAGTGACGTGATTGGACTGGGAATGCCATGGTATTCCCTCTAACAGACCAGTGTGCCCAGAATGTTATTCACAGATGTCCCCGAGGGCCCTGAGCCCCTTTCAGGGTATATGTGAGGTCAACATCATGTTCACAACAACTGTAAGATGCGATCTGCTTTTTCCAGTGGGCCGACCTTTGCTGGTGACGCATGAGCAATGTGGAAACTGCTGGTGCCACAGAGAAACCACAGCTCTGGCACCAAACCATTCACGGCCACACATCTTCAGGGCCACCGATGTGCAGCTGGGAGCGAGAAAAGCCAGCCACGTTTAGAAATGTCCGAGATAAGGCTGGGCATGGTGGCTCACGCTGCAATCCCAGCACTTTGGGAGGCCAAGGTGGGCAGATCACGAGGTCAGGAGTTCCAGACCAGCCTCACCAACATGGTGAAACCTCATCTCTACTAAAAATACAAACGTTAGCTGGGCATGGTGGCATGTTGCCTGTAGTCCCAGCTACTCGGGAGACTGAGACAGGAGAATCGCTCGAACCCAGGAGGCGGAGGTTGCAGTGAGCCGAGATCGCACCACTACGCTCCAGCCTGGGCGACAGAGCAAGACTCCGTAACAAAGAAAAAAAAAAAAAGAAAAAGAAAAAGAAAAAGAAAGAAATGTCCGCAATGTGATGAAGAGGTAAATCACGAAACAATGTATGACCCTCCAGCCTCAAGCACACGTCTGCTTTTGCATCCTTGTATGACAGGACCTGGGCCAGCACCGTGAGCCACACATCCAGGCTACTGCCGGAGGTTTGCACGTGACTCAATCCAAGGCTCACCGGCGCTCTCTACATAGAGCTCTGTTCACACTTTTTACCCTGAAATGCCTCCCTCCCACCCCCAGGGTTTATATCATTGTCTAACACACCAGAGATGAGAAAGTTTGAGCGCTTTCTCCAAAATTTAGATTAATTTCTAAAAGGTTGTAGAGAATTTTCACAAAGAAAGAAATAAAGTTCAAATCCCGGTGGACAAATATTACTTTAAAACATTTTCAGCTGGGCCCGGTGGCTCACATCTGTCATCCTAGCACTTTGGGACACTGAGGTGGGTGGATCACTTGAGGTCAGGAGTTCAAGACCAGCCTGGCCAACAGACCCATCTCTACTAAAAATACACAAGTTAGCCGGGTATGGTGGCAGGCATCTGTCATCCCACTATTTGGGGAGGCTGAGGCAGGAGACTTGCTTGGGTAGGAGAATCGCTTGAACCCACAAGGTGGAGGTTGCAATGAGCCGAGATTGCACCACTGAACTCTAGCCTGGGTGACAGAGTGAAACTCCGTCTCAAAAAAAACAAAAAACAAAAAACAAAAAACAAAAAAAACAACCACCATTTTTAATGTATTAAAAAAAAAAAAAACACCTGTGCTTGCTTTAATAAGCCCTAATATGTAAAACTTCCAGTGGGAAAAGTGGTGATGAGGCAGTGACTCTTCCCTTTACAAGAGAATTCACGGAGATTTTAGCCAGGTACCAGATGCACACACAGCACTTTCCACATTTCCATGCATGTCAATTCTCCTGAGAGATACAGAACCCGGTGTCGTGTGCACCAGGCACACCCGCGTTATCTCCCTCTCTCCTGGGGGCCGAGGGCAGGCTGCGGGGCTGCTCACCTGATGGTGCCAGTTGGGGAGGGGATGGGGCTGACCATGCTCCGGAGGTCCGGCTCCGGGATGTGGATCTTCAGCGGGGAGATCTGTGGGTAGAGCGGCCGGAGTGGGGAGGCCGGGGCCTCTTCTTTGTGGTAGAGCGATGTGAACTGGATCTTGATGGCCGTGCTGGGAAACCGGAAGGTACACCTGGAACAGGAGGAGGAGCGGGTGTGAGGTGCAGGACACTTGAGAGGACGCTAACACCCAGGGAAGGTGCGTGTCCGTGGGTCTAAGTGACCAGACCTCAACTCTCAAACCTGGGCCCCAGAGAGCAGTTTCATTGCTTTTGTTAGGACATGCAGAAACTGAGACTTAGGCTTATTTGGACATCAGCTGTCTTTCTTATTTTATTTTTTGAAAGGGAGTCTTGCTTTGTCGCCTGGGCTGGAGTGCAGTGTGGCGCAATCTCGGCTCACTGCAACCTCCACCTCCTGGGTTCCAGAGATTCTCCTGTCTCAGCCTCCTGAGTAGTTGGGATTACAGGCACCTGCCACCACACCCGGCTAATTTTTGTATTTTTAGTAGAGACAAGGTTTCACCATGTTGGCCAGGCTAGTCTTGAACTCCTGACCTCAGGTGATCTGCCTACCTTGGGCTCCCAAAGTGCTGGGATTACGGGCATGAGCCACCACACCCGGCTGTCAGTTGTCTTTCTACTGTGAGTGAGAACAGAAGAGATATAAATATCCCCACCAAGCGCCGCTAATGCTGCCAACTCCCACTGAGGCTCCAGACAGTCAGGGCTATTTCCTGTCTCCCAGGGCAACTGCTGTGGCACCCAGGTGGGGTCCCTCTGAAAGAACACACTGGGAGGCTGAAATGGCATGGCAGCCACCTAAGCAGAGATTTTCAAGATGAGTCCCCGCCACTGCCTAGAAGATCTGACAGAGCAATTCCACCCCCGCACGGGTTGGCAGAGAGTGTGCATTATCCACCCAGCGCTTAATGGACCGGCTTCACAGTCAGTTCTGGACTTAAAACCCTAAGCCTCGGGTTTTCTATGGGAGATGACCTAGTGCAAACAAAGCCAGCCGCAAGCGCCAGCGTCAACACCGATGTGCTGTGAACGGTATCCAAGGTTCATCTGGCTGGAGCAAACTGCCACCTTTTACAAAGCTGATCGTTACTTATCCAGCTCACCTTTCAATTTCTAAACTGATGAGGCAGCAACGATCAAGTTGCTCATTGCAGGACTCAGTTCAAAACAAAACAAAAACAAAAACAAAAACAGCCTGCCCACACAGAGATAAGCAACGCTGGCCGCCTGCACAGCTGTTTGGAAAAGGCTCTCGTTTAAAAGCACGGGAGGGGGGAAGAAAGAATGTATAGAAACCACCCGTGACAATGCACTTTTCAGAGTTCCAGAAGGCATTCAGAACAGGCCAAGGTACTCAACACTTGAGAGATGTTGTAAGTCTCTTGCAGGGGAACCTGGATGACGCCTCCAAGCACCAGGCTGCTGGTCTCTGCCTGTTTTTAAATCTGAAGCAGTGTTGAAAGGGGAAATCTATCTAAAATCCTGTACAGACATGCGCAAACACCCCTCTTCCGTTTGAAAGCCCCTTTGCTCTTCGTGAGAGCGTTTTTGAAAAGCAGGATGGAGGAACAGGTCAGAGTGTGAAGAAGGGTGCCTCTGGCTGTCGGCAGGGGGTCCCCTTGTGTCTTCTTCCCAGAGACCCGCTTCAAAGGAAGTGACTCAGCATTACAAATGTGCTGCTCCTCCCATAGCTTTGCTAGCCAGGCTGCCCACATCGGAGAGAGAAAAATCAGGCACTTAAACTGGCTCAACTGGGCCAGTCCTGATTGTCCTCGAGATACTGGGCAGAGGAGGCCGGGCTGCATCGTTCAGTGCCAGGTGCTATCGGGCCTGTGGACACCAGGTTTCTATTTCCAATACAAAAGGGACACTCTGAGACTGTTTCGGGATGAGAAGCTGTCTAGGAGGCTCGCCCAGCAAGTGGACCTTGGGTGGTCAGTCATGGGTAGCCACCTCACCCCTGAGGTTCTGCTTAAAGGGCAGCCAACGGCTATTTGAAAATACTCCGCAATTTTGTCCTCTTCAGTCACGTTGAGAGGAATGTGTGATGATGTCCTTTATACTTTCCTCAGTTTTCAGCCCGATGGAAATTTCCTACATCTGTATTTTGACTGGAAAGGTGCATCACCCTTTTTTTTTTTTTTGAGACGAAGTCTCCTTTTGTCACCCAGGCTAGAGCACAATGGTGCAATTTCAGCTCACTGCAACCTTTGCCTCCCGGGTTCAAGTGATTCTCCTGTCTCAGCCTCTTGAGTAGCTGGCATTACAGGCATGCGCCACCACCCCTGGCTAATTTTTGTATTTTAGTAGAGAAAGGGATTTGCCATGCTGGCCAGGCTGGTCTCGAACTTCTGACCTCAGGTGACCCACCTGTCGTGGCCTCCCAAAGCGCTGGAATTACAGGTGTAATTCCTGTGCCCGGCCACATCACCCATTTTCTAAGATGCTTTATGAAGCCTAAAGGCTCTTCACTGCTGGGGGCTGTTAGCTTTTGTGGGTCCCAGAGCTGATATCCACCCAAGCTGGTGGTGAGGATGGGCTGGCGGTCCCTGACCTAGAGAAGCAAGGAAAGAGGTTTGGGGCCAGCATCTGGCTGAGGGTCCAGACAGGGGAGCTAAGGTGAGCTCCACCTGTGAAGGATGGTGCTGACTGAACACAGTGCACATGCGTGTGTATCTGTGCACGCACACACACTCATAACACACTTTTCTACCAGCGCTGGACACGGTGGCAGTCATGAGGACAAACGTTTAAAGACAGTTTCTATGACCCTTGCTGTTTGTCTCTTTTCTCCAATTCCCTCAACCACTGCAAATCGATGAAACAAACCATGTTTTCCCATTTGTCAGAAGGGCACAGTTGAGACCTCGGACTTTCTGTGTGGTGAAAGCCCCTATGTTAATATGGGCTTGTATCACGCTGGAACCGTCAAGGCCAAGTAGAAAGAAGATGTGGCTTCCAGCCCATGACTGGGGTCACAAGAAGATGGGGACCTCGGAGACCGGGGTTCGATATGAAGACATGAAGATATGCTTATCGGTAAGACATCTGCAGACACACGTGCACATACGCAACACACAGGTGCATACATGCGCATGGAAGAGAAGCATGGTCTCCCTCTGGACGGTGAGAAGCCAGAGCCTATCTGCCCCAACGCTTGACTTCTCCCCTTCAAAGAGCGAATTGTGGCAGCAAGGAGAGCCATAAGGTGTGGGGATCTGCAACAAAGGTGAACACCACCAAAAGAGAAAGCTGGTTTAAAACCACTTGACCTAACCTCTCTGTGCTTCCGTGATCTTTATGAACAAAACACAATGGCTGGAACAGAAGAGACCGTTTCTAAGTTGCTTTCCAATTCAAAAAACTGATTCTAGGCTGGGCTCGGTGGCTCACGCCAGTAATCCTAGTACTTTAGGAGACTGATGTGGACAGATCACCTGAGGTCAGGAGTTCCAGACCAGCCTGGCCAAAAATGGTGAAACCCCCTCTCTACTAAAAATACAAAAAAATTCGTTGGGCATGGTTGGCACGCACATGTAATCCCAGCTGCTTGGGATACTGAGGCAGGAGAATCACTTGAACCTGGGAGGCGGCCGTGCTAGTGAGCCAAGAACGTGCTACTGCACTCCAGCCTGGGCAACAGAGCAAGACTGTTTAAAAAACAAGCTCCGTCAAAAAAAAAAAAAAAAACCTGAAAACTAATTCTAGATATTTACATATATATTGAGTTTTCAGTAAAACAAAACGACGTTTTGTAAGACAGGCAGGGATCTAATACCATCTATAGATGACATTAGGACAATCTCCTATTGTAATAGTACTTTTCCAATTAAGGTTTAACAATAAAGATTTTCATAGTATTTGCTGTAACAGTGATTGTCCTGAGGCAGGCAGCCTCATTACTAGGAAGAAGAGAAAACGCCATGAAGCATGCTACTTGATTTTATTTATTTTTTGAGATGGAGTCTTGTTCTGTCACTCAGGCTGCAGTGCAGTGGCATGATCTCAGTCAGCTCACTGCAACCTTGGTCTCCTGGGTTCAAGAGATTCTCCTGCCTCAGCCTCCGGAGTAGCTGGGTTTACGGGCACGAGCCACCACACTGCTCATTTTTTGCATTTTTAGTAGAGATGGGGATCCACCATGTTGGCCAGGCTGGTCTTGAACTCCTGACCTCAAGTGATCCACTCGCTTTGGCCTCCTAAAATGCTGGGATTACAGGTGTGAGCCACCATACCTGGGGTTGATTTCGAATAGATGTTTCCCCAGCGTGCTCACGGAGTTTGCCAGTTACATCTCTCCCTGTAGTATCTCATGGAGGTGCAGGGTTCTAGCTGGCATTTCAATGAGCACATTTTGCACCATGAAGCTGCTGCACGGTGATTTAACCCCAGCCACACACACTGCCGGTCTTTCCTGGAGGAGCCTCTGCTAAGGTCAAGTGGGTCCACAGGGTAGAAATCTCCATCCACTGGGGGGCAGGTTCTTGTACAGGCAAGTGCTCATCTTTGGAGGAAATCTCTCTAGAACATTCTTGCCCGACTTAGATGGAAAGGAGATTAGTGGTTGCCTAGGGCTGGAGTGGCAGGTGGGACAGGACGGGGGAATGGAAAATGACAAAGTGGCGTGGGGCTTCTTTCTGGAGCTGTGACAGCGTTCCGAGCTTGCCTGTGCTGGTGGCTACACGACTCGGTGAATGCACTGAAAATTATGGACTGGAATAATCCAAAGGGTTAGTTTTGGGTATGTGCATTCTATCTCAGGAAAGCTGTTTTTGGGAAGAATTCTTGCGTAAAAGCTCCCACACTGAGTGTCTACTCCAGCCTTGGGTTTTTCCCATTTCCACCCGGAAGCCGACAGCTCCGGGAAGTTGGGCCAGACTGGTGACTTGGTTGGAGATGAGACTGCCTGGCTCAGCTTCAGATCACAGAGCCCTCTGCACAGTGAGCTGGCACTGGCCACCGCTCCATCAGTGATGAGCCCGAGTGACTTGGGGTGTGTCACGTGCCTTCATTCCCATTCCCTCCTTAGGCCACGGATCCCACCACCTGCCCAGCTGACCAGAAAGCTGTCAGGAAAACAAAAATAGCTGACTTAATTCTCGATGATATA